CCACAGTCTTCTATGGTACAAAGAGGTCTACTATATAACAGGTAGCAGAAATCTTAATAAAAGGACCTGGCAAGGAACATCTGTTCAAAGCATGTTCATTACAGCATTTACTATAACAGAAAAAAAGCAGCGAGCCAGTTACAGTTAGTCAGGTAAGATGCTTTTCTGCCATGGATGTCCAGGTGCATTGACCTTTGTCCCAAATTTTCATATTGTTCTGTCTTGTGGAACAACTACAGGAAAGATCATACCACTGGATGACCATGGATCATCATATCATGGATGACCAGCTCCCATCCAGGTCTGTTCCCAACAATATCTATTGACTGCCAGACTCTACCTTGCCAGTAAATTCATAGTGGCATCCTTAATATTAGTCAACCCGCATCCAAAGAAGGAAAACGGCCTTATCTGAAAGCTGCACTGATCTTTTAATGGAACAAAATAATTGAGAATAGTACTGAGACTAATTGTACGGTGTACCACAGGACTTCTCTTTTGAACTGGCTTTTTATTTGATCAGGCACCTTTCTTTTCAGAATTAGTTATACAGCTGCCCAGCAACAGTCACTTGCAATTTTTAGTCTTCTGGCCAATAAGCAAAAACTGTCAGAAGGGAACAACAGAGAACAAAAATCAAAGAAAAACAACAGGTACAAAGCTTTAAAGTGCTTTCGTGAAAGAAATTGAGTTAAATTCTGTTTTTCGCTGGCAAGCTCCATTTGGTAATGCCAACTGAAATGCCAACTGTGCCAACGCCCTTCCAGCTGGTGGTTTTAGCAAAACTTGGCAGATTCTTCGCCCGCGTTAAGGAGAGACAAAGTACAATTTCTTCGGCACTGAAGCTAACAGCAGCATCTGTCATGATCTGCCAAGCAGAATTTCTTGCTGAAGCAATCCAGTATCTGGCTTCCTTCCTCCCCTATTAGAAATCCCCTCATTCTCTTTGATCCTTGACAGGGTCCTTATTAAAAAGCGGTCGCCCAACTGGCTGGCTGAGACTGTTAAAATTCATATTCCATCAGCCGTACCCGTGAGCCAGCAGGGATTTTATCTTGTCCCAGAGGCCCTGTCCTTTTAGACGACCTTGCTTTTTTTTTTTTTCTTCTTAAGACATTTTTGGTCTCCCTTACAAAGAAAACTCTCTTTGGGTTTTGCTTTGTTTTTTTTCTGATGAAGCATTAGTTGAGCCAAACCCCAATTCCACGGTTTGGCATGGCTATCTTTTGCCTGCCCTCTGAGGGAATGTTGACATGGCAGACAATCCAGAAACCAATTCATTTTAAGATTTCAGAAAATTGCAATAACAACAACAACAACAATAATAAAGTTGGAAGGGACCTTGGAGGTCATCTAGTCCAACCCCCTGCTCAGGCAGGAAACCCTATACCATTTCAGACAAATGGCTGTCCAGTCTCTTCTTCAAAACTTCCAGTGTTGGAGCATTCACAGCTTCTGGAGGCAGGTTGTTCCACTGGTTAACTGTTCTAACTGTCAGGAAGTTTCTCCTTATTTCTGGCTTGCTTCTCTCCTTGATTAGTTTCCACCCGTTGCTTCTTGTCCTGCCTTCAGGGGCTTTGGAGAATAGCTTGACTCCCTCTTCTTTGGGGCAGCCCCTGAGATACTGGAAGACTGCTATCATGTCCCCCCTCCTCCTTCTCTTCATTAAATTAAACATACCCAATTCCAGCAACCGTCCCTTATGTGTTTTAGCCTCCAGTCCCCTGATCATCTTTGTTGCTCTTCTCTGTACTCTTTCTAGAGTCTTAACATCTTCACCTCTGGTTTTTTTTTTTTTAGGATTGAGCAGCAAATGGGCTGCTCATCACATCTCTTTATCAGTTCCTTACTGAAGCTGGGTGCCCCAATTACACATATTAGAGTAAATGTAACTGCTTATTCGACTTACTTCTCGGTGAGAAGACTGCAGGCTGCGCGTCTGTTTGATGGCTTCTTCGTAGCGTGGAGGGTCTTTTGTTTTGGTTGCTGAACTGTTGAACAAGGACTGTTGCAAAAGGTATTGCTGGGACTGAGCTGGGGAAGGTGGCTGCCAGAAACAATGGATTCAGTCAGCAAACAGATTTTAAATAATGTCTTTAAAGAGACCCGGCTCTCCTTTTTTATTTTATTTTATTAATTTACTCACTATGACATGTGGCATATTGATCCCGCTTTGTCCTTAAAAGCCATCTCAAATCAAGGTGTTGATATTCTGTACAGCCCTTAGAGAGGGTTGTAAAGCACCCTGAGGCAGTATATAAGTCTAAGTGCTATTGCTATTACCGTGACGGTGATAGGGGATACGTGCCTGTGTCTAAAAGAGAGTGTTCTAGGTATGTAAAATGCCTGTATGTGCAAGAGCGTTCATGCTTGTGACAAATGCCTATCACTAGCACATGGTCCCTACAATGTGAGCTAATACAAGATACACCCCAGGGCTTAGAGCAGTGATGGCCAACCTTTTAGATACCGAGTGCCCAAACTGCAACCCCAAACCCACTTATGCATTGTCGGGTGCCGGGTGGGTGTGGCCCATTGGGTGGGTGTGGCTGCGGTGGTAACGGCAGACTGGGTGGGACTAAAAAGTTCCATCAATCAATTCCAACTTTGCGAGATCTTTTTTTTTCCCGTGAGAAGTTGAAATTGACTCATTGATTGAACCTTTTTTTTTTTGTTGCACACGGCGGCGGAGGCCTAAAGCGAAAGGGTTTTATAAAACCCAGCTGAAGGCCTAGGACTGGGGCGACGGCGCGCATGCCCACAGAAAGGGCTCTGAGTGCCGCCTCTGGCACCCGTGCCATAGGTTCGCCACCACGGGCTTAAGAGATTATGCAGCCTGGTATGACTTTACCTTTAAAAAAAAAAAAAAACACTCATTCTCTTCCAACATGTCCTTGAGATTAAGAGCCCTTATGCAAAGATAGTGTTAATTATTATTATTTTTTGCTCCCCCACAGTGCAAAGAGGCATCCCATGGGTCACGCTAGCCTCCAGGCAGTGCTCTTTTGGCAGGACAGGCCTCTACAATGGAGAATAAGTTCTACCTTCTGAAGAGGATTCGGTCCATTTTGCACTAAGGGTGCTTGGTTTCCTGAGTGAGGCGTCGTGTTTGAGGCTTGCTTAAACAAAGGTTGCTGCAGGTTGGTAGCCGACGGATTCTGATAGGAAAACACTGTGTTAGGTGAGGTAGGAGGAAATACCTGTAAAAAACCAAAAATATGATTGAGAAACCTCTCTATAAAAAATTTTAAACTAAAAAAGGCAGGGCGGATAGCAAAACACTAAAAACGACCCCTAATATTTATTAGCACGATAATAAAACTTAAATTGAGCCCAACGGTCCAGAAAAGAATCCGAGTACTTTCCTTAAGAAGGTTATTTTAGTTAACCCTTGTATTGTTTCCAAACAACATGACTCTCCCTGGGTGTGAGGTGTGAAGATGTCGAAGCGGTATATAAGTCTAAGGGCTATTGCTTGGGAAGGAAGGAAGGAAGGAAGGAAGGAAGGAAAGAAGGAAAGAAGGAAAGAAGGAAAGAAGGAAAGAAGGAAGGAAGGAAGGAAGGAAAGAAGGAAGCCATAGTGGCGCCGTTGTTGCAATGCAGGCTGACTCTGCTCAATGCCAGGAGTTCAAACCTGACTGGCTCAAGGTTGACTCAGCCTTCCATCCTTCTGAGGTCAATAAAATGAGGACCCAGATTGTTGGGGGGCAAGAGGCTCTGTAAACCACTTAGAGAGGGCTGTAAAGCACTCTGAAGTGGTATATAAGTCTAAGGGCTATTGCTTGGGAAGGAAGGAAGGAAGGAAGGAAGGAAGGAAGGAAGGAAGGAAGGAAGGAAGGAAGGAAGGAAGGAAGGAAGGAAGGAAGGAAGGAAGCCATAGTGGCGCAGTTGTTACAATGCAGGCTGACTCTGCTCAATGCCAGGAGTTCAATCCTGACTGGCTCAAGGTTGACTCAGCCTTCCATCCTTCTGAGGTCAGTAAAATGAAGACCCAGATTGTTTGGGGGGGGGGGGCGGCAATAGGTTGAGTCTGTAAACCGCTTAGAGAGGGCTGTAAAGCACTGTGAAGCGGTATATAAGTCTAAGTGCTATTGCTATAGTTAAATCTGCATGTGATTCCATCCTGGATCTTATTTTATTTGAAGAGTGACTGTACGAGCCCATACAAGTAACAGAATACAGAACTTTAGCTACAGGACATAAGCCCTTTGTACATGAACCTTCACCAACCTTTCTGTTCTCTGAGGTTTGGCCAGCTGCATGCTGCGGGGAAACACTTTGCTTGGGGGCTGACATGTGCATCTGTGGCACTTTGGGGGCCAAACCAGAAGTAGAGACTTGTGCGATGGCTGGAATACCAGCTTGTGTTTGAACCTAGAGGATAAAAAAAATGTACGTCTTCAATTTGCTGGATGCAGAAGATAATTGCATTAACATCAAGGCAGCCAAGATGGCATTATTTTTCACTCTGCAGACCTCAAAGTCTGTTTTAAAGTGAAAAAAAAACAAAACAAAACTATGCAGGACTTCTACCAAATTTAAGCCCCTCTGAAATTTTTGCACAAAACTATATGGAATAAAATGGTTATGTATCAACTACAATATACTACCATCTGGTGAACTGGACACATGGGGATGCCATAATAACCCTTTCTGCAGCTAAATTCAAAGATAAATTTTATCACATGGAAAATGTGCGTGTCTGCCTGGATGCACATGTATTGCCTTATGATGACAAGACCCTTTTTAGGGATAATAGAAAAAGTATTGTCAAAACCAGGCACCTGTTTAATATATTAATTGGATAAGAACCTTTTTAGCTCAAAGTGAGCATCTGGTTTTTTGCTCACTAATTTTGCCCTAGAAAATAGAGGTAGTATAAAGTCCCATTTAGATTCCCTATTAGATTCCCTATTACTATTTCAGCCCCAATTCTATAGCACTTCGTTGGAAAAGGCAGAAGGATTGAGCTTATGGTATTGTCAGTTTCCCACTCATGACAAGAGCCTGTAATTTCTTTGAAAATGAAGGCACGCAAAGCACCCACAATTGCATCAATTTATCCGTCAAAACCCTTGTAATTGTTAGACAATACTGGAGATAATTTGAAGGGCCATCAGGTCTACAGGGAGTTGTTTAACTATTACCGTAATTCCCCGAGACAGCATGTTACACCAAACAATCGTGCGCGTTTCTGCCAGGTGGATATTAAACCACGATTCATTTGCCTTTGGAACTAGAATCTGTCTTTTTTCCCCCCCACAAAATATAACAGGGAGCTTCCAGGTTCCTGCACATAACTTGGGGAGGAACAGCTGCTCGCATATTTCAAATTGCATTCACGAATTTCTCCTTGACTAGTAGTGGCCAGCAGATGAAGGTAACCAACCCCAAATGTACCTGGATGTTGCTCACAGGCAGCTGCACTGAAGTGGCTGAATTTGGACCCTGCAGAGAGAGTGGCAGTAGCAGCTGGGCAGTCCCTTGCGCAGCCAGAAGCGCTTGGGGATGGGCAACGACCGCAGTTTGTGGCTGTCTCTGTGAACTCACATAGAACTGAGAGATGACCTTTTGTGGCTCAGCTTTGGCTACAGGTATCTCTTGCTTGATAACCAGGGCCTTTTTGGCAACTAGGTTTTGGAGATCTGCTGGCCTGGGCTGCCCTAAAACATGGCTGGCATCAGAGACCAACTGCCTTGCCTTAGCGCTGTCTGCCAGGGTGCTTTCTTCTTTAACAGAGTTGTTGTTATGTTGCCGGTTCAAAGGCATCGGCGTTTTAGCAGAAGCCTGGCCCTGAGGGGGATGAAGAGGGTGACTCCGCTTCTCGACCTCCAGCTGCATTTTCAACACTTCCACTAACTTCTGCTCTTGTTCCAGTTTTCTTTTCAGCTCTTCGATCTGCTTCTCTTTCTCTTGAAGCTTGCGGTCCTTCTCAGTGGCGTCCAGGTCCATGCCGGACGTATTTCCGGAGTCTTCGTTCGCGGCCGCTCGAAGAGGGGAAGCGCTTGGGAACTGCGACGGAGACATCATGGTTATGATTTCCGTCAACGTGTCGGCCATGTTGGCATCGTCCGTTCCGAGACTGGACTGTTCCGAAGGAGAGGGCGAGATGGGCAAAGGGGAGCCCACGTGTTCCAGGGGTCCCGTTTTGTGGCCAGTCGCAACCGGCGTCGTTTCTGAAGAGGAACTGGGAGCAGAATTCATGGCCTGCTTATTTAATGGCGGGGCGGGGAATGGAGTAGTGGCTTCTCCAGGTTTACTGGTTCCGTTACTGGAAGCAGTTGCTGCCACTGTGTTAATTGTGCCGACAGAATTATTGTTAAGATCCTGATAGGGTTTCAGGCGCTCAATGAGATCTATTTTAGTTCCAGACACAGGCAATCCTCTTAGCTTTAATTCCATTTTCAGTTCAGCTACCTGAAATGGGGGAGGGGGGAGGGAAGAGGAGAGGAGAGGGTGATTTTTTTTAACAGAAATGAAGTCACTAGGATGAAGCAATCCAATGAAGAAATTACCACCGCTGGAGTCAACACCACCCGCAATGGATCGTTTACTTAAATCCTGCAGAATAAAACCGAAAAGTCTAACGTGCCCTGAATAATGGGCATGAAATATTAAAATGACTAGAAGCAATGGAGCCGTGTGGATCCCGCCTAAAGAAGATGTTTGAACTCAGGGCTTTGTTTGAAACTTCCCTGTATCTATATCTATCCATCTCTACTTCTGTATACATCTACATCTCTGCTGATGGACAAGCTGTGCGGTAAGAATGCCGACAGAGCTCTGAAGTCTGGGCTGGATAACATTTAATTTTCATTCCCTTTTGAAAGAATGCATTTTTAGAGCAGCTTCAACTCTGCATGTATTTGAAAGCCAAGAAGAAAAAACAGGTTATTTCGGTTTAATAGTTCCAAAGTCTTACTGAGTGAGGTTCCTGAAACAAAGAAACCCTCTCAATCTAAACAGTGAAAATATTACTATTTATAGGTATAATCTCTGGAGTTGAGAGAAAAGGCAGCTATACAGACAGCAGCATTAATTTGTGTAGTTGCCAAAAGACTTCTGTAATATCCCTACGGACAGTCCTTGCAGTTTGGTTATTTACAATGTTAACTGAACGCATTCAGAAGTTACAGGATTTCAGCTACATTTTAAAAAAGGGAGTGAAACTCAAAAGATGGCAATCTTTTTATACTTGAACCCTTTTGTAGAAGCTTATAGTCCATTAGCTTCACTGCTTCCTGTCATAATTAATACGAGCAGATTCCCCCTAAAATGAACAATGGATTTGTGTGAAGCCCACACGAATAAGACTCATTATTTCTGTGGGGTTAGGGTTGGGCTAGAAATAAATATACCATTTACTTTTAACAATTAAATTTTAATCGGTTGATGGCGGGGGTTCCCCCACTTTGTGGTCCTGCAACCAGCCACGAGGCTGCAGCAGGCAAAACAAGGCACAAAGGCAGGAATGAATTCTGGCATGGCTCACTCAGCCTGGGCAAGCCTGATCAGGTTAAAAAAATAAAACAATGGGACACCCGGGAACTGCTCATGATTCCAGAACAAGCCCTGATCCACAGTTTAAGAATCTCTGCCCCAGAAGTTTCTTCCGCGCTAAAAAGGCGACGGAAAATATTTCTGTTTATAGCCGAATAAGTCAATACCAAAAAGAGCGGGTCTAATTGCATCTGAGGGATTAACCCTCTATCCCTTTTAAAACGTTAACTGCTAACAGCTGCAATTTCGTTTTCCCAGCTGTATGAAGCAGAACTATTAATAGGCAAGTACTTGAAGGCAGAATGCTAAAATTATCCCCTCTTGCCTGCCTTTCTAAATCACTGGGTTAAACATCCTTTGTGTCCTGCTATCCGATCCCGTTTATCCACTTAATCACCACTACAGACAAGATAAGCTGAAAAATCATGGCCAGCTCTCTGCAGTCCGTATCTAGGGAAAGATCTCCTCTGCCATTCTAACCCTGGTTCACAGCTGTTATTTGCAGAATTTGTTGTCATCTACCTCCCCTGCATTGTGCATAATTTTATTAACTTCTCTTACGTTATTATTATTGCTTTTAAAGTAGCAATATATTTCTCTCCCCATTCCCCTCCGCTCCAAAAAATCAGTTAGTTGCCTGTGTCCTTAAGAGTAGTTAGGTGCTCTTTTCAACATATTTTTCAACTCGGCACCAATATGTCTGAGTTTAGCCTTATAATGTAGACCAGTCTAAGAATCAGACACCATGTAGACCTAAAGCTACTTCCAACAGAATGGCTATGGTAACAGAATCTTGCAATCTTGAATGAGGTTCCCTGTCTCCCTCCTTTAACTAATTGTGAAATGGGGAGGAAGGACTGTCTGAGGTGTTTGTGAACTTCCTTGACCTGGCCTTAAGTTTCATTTCTTTTATTTCACTGACATAGTAGGTGGTCTTCCCTCTGTCCTTCAAGGCCCTCCGGGTTTCTCAAGCTTGGCAAGAAATTCTGGCAGTTGAAGCCCACACAATCTTCAAGTTGCCAAGTTGGAAAGACACTGCTGTGGTTATCCTCTACCGAAGGGAAGCAAATGAGCACAGCTCGTTTAATCTAATTTCTACATATTCATGGACTTCTCAGGGCAGCAACGTTCTTCTTGGGCAAACACCCTGCTTGTGATAAAAGAAGACAGCAAGATTGTGATTGGGCGTCATGCAAAAAAGAGGAAAAACTCACACAGCCCCACCCACGTGTGATATGGACTGGCCTCCTTCATATCTGAAATTCCCCATCGTTTTCCACTGAAATCTGGCATGCAGAAATTTATGGGAGACACGCTACATCAGGGGTCCTCAACCTTGGCAACTTTAAGACTTGTGGACTTCAACTCCCAGATTTCCTCAGGAATCTGGCTGAGGAATTCTGGGAGTTGAAGTCCACAAGTCTTAAAGTTGCCAAGGTTGGAGAGGCCTGCTCTAGATCTAGAGCTACATTTTTTGTAAACTGAAAAAAAATACCACATTTTGACCATTTTCCATTTGGGTGAGTTGGCATCTGCCAGAGGGAGTCAAGCTATTCCCCAAAGCCCCTGAAGGCAGGACAAGAAGCAACGGGTGGAAACTAATCAAGGAGAGAAGCAACCTAGAACTAAGGAGAAACTTCCTGACAGTGAGAACAATCAACCAGTGGAACAACCTGCCTCCAGAAGCGGTAAATGCTCCAACACTGGAAGTTTTTAAGAAGAGACAGGGCAGCCATTTGTCTGAAATGGTATAGGGTTTCCTGCCTGAGCAGGGGATTGGACTAGATGACCTCCAAGGTACCTTCCAACTTTACTATTATTATTATTATTATTATTATTATTATTATTATTATTATTATTATTATTATTATTATTATTATTATTATATTATCTTGGAAAAAATAAAATGATTCAAAAGGCAGGTGAGTTAGAAGTCATTCTGGGGTCATTAAGGGACACTTTTTTCAGGACCCTTGGAAGAGGCTTCACACTGCACTTGTTGATTTTATTATTTTACCTTCAAATCATCCAAGCTGGGAGGAAGAGGTCCTGGCTTTCTGTGTAAAATATTAGTGTTCTGTCTTGGTGCGCTGACCGCTACTGAAGATGTGCTGTTGTTCAAAGTAGTCAGTGGTACATTCCCAGTGTTACCCTGTTTGTCATTTACTGGCCTTCAAAGGAAAAAGAGGAGGAGGAAGAAGAAGATCAACCTTCAAAACCAAATTTATCTTTTCCATCCATTTCGTTCAACACGTCCTGCCATTTTTTCCCCCCTTTAGCCACCAAACATTTGATTAGGAGTGGGCCGGAATAGAGAAATGCCATTTTAAAGCTTCAAAATCATCTTGTTTATTAGCTTTGAAGATTATTTTATTCTGTTAATGTTACTCGCTAGACTAAACTGCAGTGCGGAGAGACAGACAGACCCCATTCATCACACAAAAAGACATACAAGGAATGAATGGCCTGGCCTTTCCCGGAAAATTAAAAATTAAAATAGGGAAAAGAATGTCTCTATTCCAGCCCACTTTTCATCAATAATGGAACAGGTCTGCTTCTCTTATTGATCAAGCTGTCCAGGAGGGATTTTGCCATCCTGCAGAGCAGGTTTTGAACATGTACAATCCATGCTTATCCTGCGTAGCCGCTGTATAGAGCAGGGGTCCCCAACCTCCGGTCCGTGGACCGGTACTGGGCCACGGCATGCCAGCAACCGGGCCGCACAAACAAGCAAAGCCCCATTTGCAGGATGCAGGCAGCACACAAAACCACGCCCCCTCTGCTCCATGGAAAAACCTCTCTCCATGTAACCGGTCCCTGGTGCCCAAAAGGTTGGGGACCTCTGGTATAGAGCTTATACCAATATACAATATAGGGAAGCTATATGATCAGTATCTGCATTAGGTACCCTTTGGACCAAGTTAGATGCAGTATCATTTGCATGAACGCAATTTATTTTTTTTAAAAAAACAACCTGTTGTCCACTTAGTTTTGGGGAAGTATGATTGTCTCCTGGCCATGGAGAGGAGACCTTAACCCAGTGTTTCTCAACCTTGACAATTTTAAGGCATGTGGACTTCAACTCCCAGAATACCCAAGCCAGCATTGCCTTAACCCCTTGCATAATCCTTTCCTTGCCAATGTCCTGCCCAACCTTCCTCCCATTCGCAAAGAGGAGAAATGGAAAGAACAGCTTGGATTCCAAAGTGCAAATTTAGCCAAAATGCAAATAGCCCTGAGGAAGAGGCTGGTTGACCCCAGTGGAGGAGGACTGCTGACAGACTGGAGGAAAGAGACTCTTCACGCTCACTGGGAGAGATGAGGAAACCGAACACACGCAGAACCGTCCAAGATTCACCTACTTGAGTGGTGCAGGAAGAATTGTCTGGTAATTGTAATGTTGCTGCTGTTGGCTCAGGATTTGCAGTTGCAAAAACAGTTGCTGCTGCTGCAGCAAACGGGCGTAGTTGGTGTCCATCGGGGGCTCGTTTTTCTCTCCTTTCTGGTCGGGGGGAATATACTGATGGTACTTCAGTTTCTTCACTCTGGGCTTCGGTTCTTTGCTTTTCTTGCTCCGGGGTCTGTCACTGGGGTTCTTGGGGTGAAGTTGCTATTTTTCAGAAAGAGAATAATACAAAGCGACGCTTTGGATCCAGAGCTGAAGCTCAATCCAAAACTGCCGTTCTGTGTTACAGTAGAGATTTTGTTTGTTTGTTTGTTCCTTTCTCCGTAAAGATCAGAGGCTTCCAAACTTGGCGACTTTTAAGACTCGTGGACTGAATGGGGAATTCATGGAATGGAAGTCCACGAGTCTTAAAAGTTGCCACGTTTGAAGACCTCTGCCTTACATTCCTTTTCTCCAGGAAGTCAAGAGGCAAGTGACCTTGCCCTCCAGTTTCATCCCAACAGCTACAAGAGTATGAGGAAGATGAATGATTGGCCCAAAGTTCCAAATGGAGGGAAACTAACCAAGGAGAGAAGCAACCCAGAACTAAGGAGAAATTAGTTAGAACAGTTAACCTGCCTCCAGAAGCGGTGAATGCTCCAACACTGGAAGTTTTTAAGAAGAGACTGGACAGCCAATTGACTGAAATGGTACAGGGTTTCCTGCCTGAGCAGGGGGTTGGACTAGATGACCCCCAAGGTCCCTTCCAACTTTAATATTATCATTATAAAGTCACCGAGTGAGTGTTCATGGCTGTGCATGGATTTGACCAATACAGGTAGTCCTTGACTTACAACCAAAATGGAAGATCTGAAATTCTGTTGCGAAGGAAGCTAAGTGGGCTATGCCCAATTTTTACAACCCTTTTTTTTGCCACGGTCGTTAAGCAAATTGCTGCGGTTGTTAAGTGAATCATGCAGTCGTTAAGCAAATCCGGCTTCTCCCCTTGACTTTGCTCATTGGAAGCCAGCTGGAAAGATTGAAAATCACATGTTCCTAGGATGCGTCAACCATCGTAAATACATGTTGACTGCCAGATGCCCGAATTCTGATCACATGACGGTGGGGATGCTGCAATGGTTATAAGTGTGAGGACCAACTGTCTAAGTTACATTTTTCAGTTCTGTTGTAACTTTGAATGGTTGCTAAACGGATGGTTGTAAGTTGAGGGCTATCTGTATACGTACCATTATACTGCACTGGTTCTTGATCTGGAAAAGAAGGATATTTATAGATTCAACAGTAAGAATTCCGGACTGAATTCAGTTATCTATCTATAATCGAGAAGATGATTATCTTTGGAGTTGATTCTTTTCACTTTAGCAGCTGCTCTTAACCATTTCACTTAACTATCTCTCCAAAACAGACCAAACTCAATCTTTATTGATAGGAAAATATTGCTCTGCATTCTGTCTTGCTAATTATTGAGACATAAACGTTAGTACTTTAATAATGTAAGTTGCCAGAATTGTAGCTTCGCCTCATCAGTCAGAAATTATTATCCTAAAATTTAGGTCAGTGTCTCTTAAATTGTGATTTAAGTGTTAAAAGCTTAGCGTTACACGCTAAGGACTCTAGCAAAAGTCGGCATAACATAAAGGTGATGTCAACCTTTTGTCTACTCCATTCAGTGAGATATCTTATAAAAACAATGTTATAGAAACTGGCAGATGTAGCTCCTTTCCTGCAGTCATCTGCAAAACCACTAATCCAGCTGGCGACATTCTGAAAAATGCAATTACTATATTTACAATATCAATACCCAAGGTAAAAAATATTTATTTTAGGAAAATGATTAATAGTTACTGCAGAGCTGGATGGCGATGAAGATTTCATGCTTGCTTGCCAATGCATACATGTGGGTTTTTTCCCCCTAAAGTTTTAAAAAGCTCTTGCCCAACTAATTATATATCTTATTATTCCTGTTTAAAATGTTCATTTTTTGGTTGAGGAAAGTGGTATAATTAAACCAACACCCACTGTTTTTGTTCTGCCCTACCTTTATTAGTGTTGGCCCACTGCAGTGTTTTGTGGCAGTCACAGAATTTGTGGTAAGAGGAGCAGCGGTTGTGCGTGTGACATGCTGATCTGTGACAGGTGGCTTCAAAAAGTCAGGTCCTGGTATTGTTATGGGGGGATACTGAGAAGAAAACAAAATGAGAAGCAGCTATTTAAACATTTTCCGACCTTCGGTAAGTGTCAGCTTTTCACAGCGATGTCATGGTATTTCATTATAGCTATATTCCCCTAAAAGCAGTCTAATGAAATTCAGGGAAACTGTCATTGTTCAATAATCAATCCAAATATATTTATGAATTAATTCTGCTTTGTGCAGTAAGCTTTTCTTTTCCTTAAAATAAATTTGGGAACATCTGTATGCCTTACCTGTGTACGCCTTTTGATTTTGAAAACTGCATGAAAGTTTAATCGTATTTTGGAAGGAGAAAATGCTTATTTATTATATATCAACTGTATGAAAGCTAGTTTTTTTCTCTTTGCTAGCTAGCTGATAATACACTTGAAGAAATATCGATAGCGCTTAGACTTATATACCGCTTTACAGTGCTTTACAGCCCTTCTCTAAGCAGTTTATGGAGTCAGGATATTGCCCCCAACAATCTGGGTCCCCATTTTACCGACTTCAGACAGATGGAAGGCTGAGTCAGCCTTGAGCCAGTGAAAATCAAACTGCCAAACGAACTGCTGGCAGTTGGCAGTCCGCAGAAGTAGCCTGCAGTACTGCAGTACTATTGTGCCACCATGGCTCTTAATATTAAAAAATGTTAGATATAAAGGCAGCTATCGTGCTTTCCGTTCACAGCCAACAACTCCGCACTGCTTCCTATGCAACACGTCACATCACACTTTTGATGCTCCACTCTTGCGTGAATGGAGCTCCCTGCGTGCACGCACACGCCAGCCCTCCACTCATGCAGCCTGGTCCCTTCTCCCCTCCTCCAGCCGGGCTGCCAAGCCACAAAGGTTGGGGACCGCTGCGCTAATTGTAGAGGACAGAGAAATGATGATTGAAAAGGTATTTTACTCTCAATACTAAAGACGTTGCGACAGAGTGAAAATCATAGAAAGCAGCCTATTTCAACAAATTGGCACAATGAAGTATTCAATGCTGTTCCTAGATAGGTTGGAAGACTAATTATGCTCAACCATAAACAAGCCATCTGTCTGATTTGATTAGCTCTTTCTTTATTTGTGACAAAAGTGTCCAACTGGACCTCTGACTTTTCTCTGGAGGGGGATATAAGGACATAAAAATGAGTAATATTTGAATCCGAAGCTAGAAAGACACAGCTATTAGCGGGAGAGAAACTGCTTGGTTCATACCAGAAGACAGCAACATTTCAAATGGCTGGCAGCGTACCTGCGTGGCTGAGGAAGCTGGGGTGACCGGCGAGGGTACTTCTTTCGCTTTGGGTTCTCCGGGGGAAGCGGTTGACCCTTGGGACTCCTGACTACCAGGCTGGTCGGGAGATAAAGCATCGCTGCTGTCTTCGTCAAACGAGAAATCATCCGCAGCTTGAGGGTAGTTCTCCTGACCAACCGCTAAGAAAAGACAAGGATTCTTCTTTTAGTTAGGTCAGGGGTAGGCAACCTTGGCTCTTTTATGACTCGTGGACTTCAACTCCCAGAATTCCTGAGCCAGCCATGGCTCAGCTTGGAAACCTCTCCCTTTCCCCTCAGCATGGCTGGCTCAGGAATTCTGGGAGTTGAAGTCCACGAGTCATAAAAGAGCCAAGGTTGCCTATCCCTGAGCTAGGTCATTATAGAGAGAGGAGACATTGGCGAATACAGGTGGTCCTCAGCTTACAAGCACAATCGTGGCCAGGATTTTTGTTGCTAAGCAAGGCGGTTGCTAAACGAGTCAAGCCCGTTTTTGCAAACTTCCTCGCCAGGGTTAAGTGAATCACAATTACTCACGAATCCGACTTCTCTCATCGACTCTGCTTGTCAGAAGCTAACTGGGGGGGGTGGGGGTGCAAATAGCAATCGCGTTGACCCGAGGATGCTGCAGCCATCATAAATACTTGCCAAGGGCCTGAATTTTGATCCTGGGACCATGGGGACGCTGTGAGGATTGGTCATTGGTCACTTTTTTTCAGTGCCATTGTCACTTTGAGTGGTTACTAAATAAGTGGTTGTAAGCCGAGGACTTGTTGCACAGTGATTGCACCAACTGGAAGTATAGGCTTGTGTTCCCAATCATGTTTATTCTAATCCATAGATCTTAACATATGGATTGTTTCTGATTTTTCTTTTTTCTTTTCGTTATCTCTTTTTAGAAAAGGACAATGGCTTTATCAAGCAGGTGAATAGATGATTCTTTTACAGGGGAAAACCATCCAGATGGTACGTGTTCACTCACTGCCTATGATTTAGAATCGTAGAATCACTTCCACCAATGCAATAGAAAAGGTGAACAATATTATTCCGTACAATTCCAAAATGAATACTTTGTTGAAATACAAAAAAAAAAAAAAATTATGTTAGACAGACACACGCAGAGACACACACACACACGTTTGCGTATTCTTTTTCCTTTTGTCTATTTTTATTTATGTTTCCAGTCTTAATAGACTGCTCTCTTGAGTGACAAACCAAGAATGCTCTCTAGAGGAAGTGTCACAATAACACAAAGGCACATTTATAATGGGTATTGCAACACTTCAGGCTTCAGATTTTCCCGATCTATGATTTCCGGCAACAGACTTGCCTATAATGGCTTCTTTGACGCTGGAGTCTACAGGAAGAATATTCTTCTCCACAAGTTCCATAGGGCCCGGCCTCTGAGCGATCTTCTCGTTTAAGTCATCTGCAAGTCGCGCCCTCTTTAACTTCATCTGAGTGGCCTGGAGAGAGGGTTCTGCAAACGTTTCTGGGAAAAAGAACAGAACTACAACGGTTAAAAAACTTTGAAGTGCTACATTAATTCTACCTCCAATGTTTAGTGCATGTTTATCTAAAGTTGTAATGGAGATAGTAAAGCAGAAAGTGTAGAACTAGAAAAAGAGAATAAGAGAACACTCCAGAGCTTCCCTATTACAGCAGACTGAACAAATCCGAAGTGAGACACTTTCTATGTAAAAATAACAGCTCCAATGAACTAAGTTTTAATCCTACTTAGTTAAACTTGTAACATTTTGCATCCCAGATGAAGGTAAGAAATTGTTTTAAATCTGGGTTTTAAATCCAATTCTCGCTTGCTGAGCTTGGTTCTGACAATAAGGTGAACCATAACCTTCAGTTTATAACCTGTAATAATTAGATTCACACGCACAACATATTAAACCAGAGTCCAACAAACCATATTGTGTGCTTGGATATACCCACTGCCGTTTAGTTGGTGTAAAACAGGGGTCTTCAAACTTGGCCCGTTTATGACCTGTGGACTTCAACTCCCAGAATTCCTCAGCCAGAATGCCTGGCTGAGGAATTCTGGGAGTTGAAGTCCACAAGTCATAAAAGGGCCAAGTTTGAAGACCCCTGGTGTAGATAAGTCACACTTTTTAAAACCTGTTGTTGGGGTTGGTAATGTGGGAAAACACATGGTAAAGAGGCAGCCTTGCATTTTTTGCTGATAAGTTTCACTTATCCTATTCAGAAATTCAGAAATTTAATCAGGAAATAGGAAATCAAAGGGGATTTCTCACCTTCAAGAATATGCATCCTGACTAATTCTGATCGATCAGGCCTACTGCGTATTTTATGCTTCAGAAAGTTTTCAGTCTGGAAGAAAAGAGGCAAAAATATACACACTACACTTAACTGGTAATAAGTACAAAATAGTTCCAGTTTTGCTGGCATTGATGGAAACCGCAAAGCACTGTTGGACAGCAATTTTATTATCTGCCAATGCTTTGCAAGATGTTGCCCGATATAACAGAACTATGTTTACTATTTATTTTAAATCATCCAAAAATTCAGGTTCTTGATCATCCATTCCACAAGGTGTAAAATGAAAACTGAACCACTTCAAATTTTATATTCCAAATTTCGCTGCATTCAAGAACAAGAAACTTATTCTTACAGATCGCGTGCTTCTACTTCTCAAAGCAATAACACAAATAGAATTCTATCTTTATACAGAAGTAGAATGCTAATTAGTCTATAATCTGAAATTCTTACCAAATCTATCACAGGTGCAACCACAGGAATATTATTGAACAGGTTTTGAATTTTAAAACAATTGTCATTTCCCCTTATAATGTAGTTTGTTTTTCTGAGTATTTATATTGAGTACTTTAAGCTGCATTAATGTATCTATCAGAGGAAATGTCAGTTGTTTTTCCCATAAATCTGCATTATTTGTCCACAAAAGCTTACAATATATTACAGTCTCATGTATCAAAACACAATCTAAAACATTATGAACATTAGAAAATGTCCATATACCTATGGGTGTTTTTAAATTTGTTTTTAATAATAAATCACCAAGCTATTTCCCTATTTCCCTTAGTTTCTAAGCAAATGTAATAAAACAAAGAGACTTCCCTTCAAGAAAAAAGTGAAGATAATTCTGTAGCACTTTTGTATCCTCATCAGTAAGTTTTAAAAATTCAGATGATAATTTAAACTTATACTTCGACTTCTCAAGTTTAGAACTATGAGAGAAGATGGCCTGGTTTTAATTGTTTAACAAATAATTTCAATTCTTTTATCTTTAGGTTGAAGAAATAGATAATTACTATAACGGCCTTTGCTCAAAAGAATTCTGAGAGTTAATAATTAAATATATCATGAATAATTAGTGGCTTCCAAATGCAATACTTCAACGGCCAGGTATGAAGCACACCTTACTAAGGAGTATATATTGTCTCATCACAAGGATTAGTTTAACTAATTTTGAAAGTGTTTGTCGGAATGTGTGGTTATTCAAGCTGTTGCTGAAGTTTGAATGGTTTAAATCAGTTCTCCCTCAATTTCATTACAGAAAGAACTCAAGTTTCTTTTCCAAAAATCTGTAACGATTTCTCCTCGTTTCCAAAAGCTCTTCGTATAACACTTTTCCCCAAGACAATCATATGCAAAGAATGAAATATCGTGTTCAAACTTGAGTTCTCACCCTGGCTCTTTCCAAACTCTTTATTTGCTCATGAAACACAGCTGGGCTCTTCAAAGCTAAAAGAAGGAAATGAAAAAGGGTCATGAAGCCAGGAGATCATAAAGGTATATATGAATTATCTTACATTTAAGCAGGTTTGTCAGTCGATCGAATCATCCTACGATTGACTGGACATGTCTTTCTAACCGACTGTCGTCGACATTATTTTAACGGGATCGACGTACCATGACCTAAGGTTTGTGAAATTAATTGAAGTATTTATACCTCATAATCGATTTTCTACTCGTCTTTTACCGGTAAAACGTGATGAGAATTATACATCTGGTTAATATATTGTCGAATAATAATAGTGGTAGTAGTAATAGTAAAAATATCTGTCTTGCATCAGGAGCCTGGTGTCAAATGAACAGGGATAATTAACACCGGCATAGCTTCTTCATTCTCTCTTTTCATATTCTGTACTCTGCTTACTAAGTATTTTTTAAAAATAGTATTGCATTTCCTGTATGTTTTAGGTTGGAAACAAAAACAAAAACAAAAAAACAAAAACACCCCAGCAATACAGTTACACCATAAAAACAAATAGAACAACAGATAATGACGGGATCCTAAGGCCATTTTGAGTAACTTCCACACAACCTGGCAGAATGGCAAGTAGGCCCAATAATAATGAACAAAGTTCTGCTATTTCCTAGAGTTTTCAAGCCAGACAAAGGTAAACAATCCCAGGAATAATTTTTTCCCTCGTTAGGTGGCCACTGCAGTCCCTAAAGCAGGGGTGTCCAACTGTGGCAACTTTTAAGACCTGTGGACTTCAATTCCCAGAATTCCCCAGCCAGCCATGAATGTTGGGAGTTGAGCTCCACCAATCCTAAAGTTGCCAAGGTTGGACACCCCTGCCCTAGAGTATTAAGATGCTCTTTTGGGCATCTCTTTCAACTCAAGGTCCAACATGAGATGGGAAGCAAATTAGGGCAACTTGTTTAATGCCATGATATAGCCTGACGTATTCATGGATCTTTATTACATTACATTAATGTAATGTAACATTAATGTAATGTAATATCATTACAGCAATATTTTTCTCAGGCAAACCTCAGCTATGCCAGCACAAGGTAAACAAGACGGTGTTTGCATGATACATGAAAAGCAAAGAAACACAACTATTAGCCAACTATGTTGGCTAATAAAACATAGTGAATCCTTGCACTCAATCACAGTAAGAGACGAGTGGCAAACACATCTGCATACCCTTGCAGAACATGCTTGGAAGAAAATGAAGCCACAGGAAACTTAGTTCACCAACTTTAGGGTACAAGAGGAGGGAACCTCCACTCAAGAGGACCCCAGAAAACAAATCCACGGTTTGTCTTTAATCTGTCAAGGGCTTGATCCTCTTGATTCGTCCAGACACAAAAAATTAAGAGTCTCGTTTCTGCCTACCAGATTAAATTATTATAAATCATTTCCCCCTTATTTAATTTCCAACTGCTCATAATTTAATTGTAATGAATTCCAGGTTTAATAAGGTAATATATTTCCCATCAATTTCCTTTCATTTTCAGATATTAGCAGAAGTCGTATTTACAGAGTTGTCACTCCTGCCTTTAAATTTGGATGGGGGACTGAATATTATCATCTATTCCCTTTCATCTTTAATAAGACATCTAAGCACTCAAGGTTACGCAAGCTTCGGAAAATAAAATTAGCCTTACGTGGCATGATTCCCTGGTCCACCAGCTGCTCTCTTGTTCGCCTTTGCTGTAGCTTCAGCTGAAGAACTGGCAACAGAGAAAAGGGATTTATTACTTGACAAGACGGAACTCTGTCCCACAGTTATAACGGCTGCGTTCTTTGGAGAGCTAAATAAATCCTTAACATTAAATGTTTAATCGGATCCAGGGTACGTTTACTGCTCAGATAGTGAGACTGTGTACAGGCAACCCTCATCATAACTGTTCAAAGTCACAACGGCACTAAAAAAAAAAAAAGTGACTTAGGACCGCTTTTCACACTTGCAACCGTCGCAGCATCCCCCCAGGGTCACGTGATCAAAATTCAGAAGCTTGGCAACTGGCATGTACTTATGACAGCTGCAGTGTCCCAGAGGTCAAGAAAGGACATACAATGGGGCAAAACTCACTGAACGACTGTCTTGCTTAGCAATGGAAATTTTTTGGCTCAACTGTAGTCCTAAGTCAAGGACTCTCGGTAGTGTGTGTGTACACAACACAGATGATTATCATCTGATGTTTTGGTGATTAGGATAGAGAACCTCTAAGATACAAATGCTTTTATGGGCAACAATATACAGTCTCTCCAGTGTGGCTTCATAAGAGTCACATTCTGCAATAGGCAAACACTTAGGCCGGCGTTATTTCTTCTACAATCACACAGCTCGGCACCACAAATATTAAAGGCAATGTACAGAGAAGACTGTCCATGGGGTTTTCATGGCAGTGGGTTGCCATTTCCTTCTCCAGTGGATCACATTTTGTCAAGGCCATGGTTTTCCCAGTTGCAATGTATGGATGTGAAAGTTGGACCATAAGAAAGGCTTAACAAAGAATGGAGGCCTTTGAACTCTGGTGCTGGAGAAGACTCCTGCGAGTCCCCTGGACTGCCAGGCGATCAAACCGGTCAGTCCTAGAGGAGATCAACCCCGACTGCTCTTTAGAAGGCCAGATCCTGAAGTTGAAACTCAAGTACTTTGGCCACCTAATGAGAAGGAAGGACTCCCTGGAGAAGAGCCTGATGCTGGGAAAGATGGAGGGCAAGAGAAGAAGGGGACGACAGAGAATAAGGTGGCTGGATGGAGTCTCTGAAGCAGTAGGCGTGAGCTTCAATGGACTCCAGAAGATGGTAGAGGACAGGAAGGCCTGGAGGAACGTTGTCCATGGGGTCGCGATGGGTCGGACATGACTTCGCAACTAACAACAGAGAAGACATTGTTCTGATCAACAGGTATATATGCACAAGCACATCACTGAAACCCAACTAGCATAATTGTTGCAGATGCTCTTGTCTGGGTGCTATTAACGCTCGTGAATGCATCATAGGCCACAGGCAATCTCAGTCGTCGATGTTCTTTGCAACAGCCCTTAGAGCTCAACCTGGAAACGGGACAAGAATACTAGCTGGCTTGTCTCCAGCAAAAAAAAAACTTGGAACCTTTGGGACGGCGTTATTCTCTCTACCACACCTATGGGGTGAGTCAGGGACATGGGGAAAGAGGAGTAAGGGAGAGCCACATGTTTATAGCATCCACAATTTTATAAGCGTTCCAGAAGATCAACAGAAAGGAGAGTTTTATTTTCTGGGCAATCTACTTTTTATCTGTTTCCAGTTACATGTTAATGTTTACCCCTGGATCTGATTTACAGTAGGAAAATAAAATTTTGTAAACAAGACTTTATCTCTCTTTTTAGCAATGGTTGCAAAATATTTTGAACTGGGCATCTATGTACAATACCTTTATTCTCTTCCTTAAAATAAAGAGTATGGTACATTAAAATCAAAAGAATATTAAGGTATTAAAAACAAAAGCATCCAATTAACAAAATTGTTAAAATTTATTAAAAACAATCCCCACAGAATGGTATTGTCTTTTTTCCAGAAAGAAAAATATAAAGATTTTTAAAGGCTAATGATTTTAATGTGCAATGTATCTTTTATATTTTTTTTAAAAAAAGCATTACAGTTGTTTTGAATATATGGTTTTGACATAGCCAGAAATCATTAGCTTATAGCAGAGCAAAATAAAATCTCAACTCTGGTAGAAAGGGCAAAAGGTCTTTTGGAAAAAAAGTAAAATATTGCATAATACATTATCCTTAGACATGAAACTAGCAACTAGAATTAAGTTTTCCATTACTTCTTCCAAATCAACAAAGTTATTGTGTCACCCAAAAAATGATGCAGATTAATTCCCTAAGGAGATTAAATAGTAAATACTAATAAGAAAGCAAACTTAGAAGAAAAATATTTTCTTCTGGGGAAAAAAAATGAAAAAGCTAAACTTGCTAACCTTTATCCAAAAGTAAGAAATGCATGTCTTCTCTCTACCTAGAAGTATACAAATTTATTTTTCAACTCAAAATTAGCTGGTATATCTCCATCAGCAAAGACTTTTATATATGGAATTTTGAAATTTTATAAGCTTCTTGGAGTCACCTAAACGTGAGTTGGGCAGCTATACACAGTAATTTTGTTTAATAAAAACAAACAAACAGACAAACACATAATAACAAATACATGTAGGGATTGAATGCATTTCTGGAGGATTTCGATCTGCAGCTATGCCATCATATTAAGACACGGTACAAAAAGTGCTTCTTCAAGGAAAAACTTCATCATTATAGCTACAGTAAGGATAAAAAGTCTAAACAGAAGCCAGTTTTTTAATATAAGGAAAGGCGACTCATTTCCTTATTTTTTTCAAAGCCTTTTGTATGCTGTGCTATTTTTTCCTTGGCAACAGAAAAATAACTTGAACGGAACTTAGGCTGTCCACTTCTTGCAGAGGCCAACTCAGTGAGGCCTAAGAACAAACACAAATTATTAGGAAACTGTAACTAATCTTTTAAAAACTTTGAACGTCAACTATTTAAGTTACAGTTATGTCAAAGAGTTCAGCCATGTTACAATGCCAAACATCTGCATCTAGCACAATGCTGTGAAATCTACCCGTTTATTAAGGTAATGAGAAAGTCACTGGAGGTTGCTGCTCTTAGTACAGATAGTCCTCGACTTACAACAATTCATTTAGTAGCTGTTCAAAGTTACAACGACACTGAAAAAAGGGGCTTATGACCATTTTTCACACTTACGACCGTTGCAGCATCCCTGTGGTCACGTGATCAAAATTCAGATGCTTGGCAACTGGTTCGTACTTATGACCGTTGTAATGTCCCAGGGTCTTGCAATCCCCTTTTGTGACCTTCTGACAAGCAAAGTCAATGGGGAAGCCAGATTCACATAACAGCCATGTTATTAACATAGCAAATGAAATGATTCACTTAACAACTATGGCAAGGAAAGTCGTAAAATGAAGCAAACTCACTTAAGTAGATGTTAAGACTCTAGAAAGAGTACAGAGAAGAGCAACAAAGAGGATCAGGGGACTGGAGGCTGAACCATACGAAGAATGGTTGCTGGAATTGGGTATGTTTAATTTAATGAAGAGAAGGAGGAGGGGGGACATGATAGCAGTCTTCCAGTATCTCAGGGGCTGCCCCAAAGAAGAGGGAGTCAAGCTATTCTCCAAAGCGCCTGAAGGCAGGACAAGAAGCAACGGATGGAAACTAACCAAGGAGAGAAGCAACCTAGAACTAAGGAGAAACTTCCTGACAGTGAGAACAATTAACCAGTGGAACCACCTGCCTCCAGAAGTGGTGAATGCTCCAACACTGGAAGTTTTTAAGAAGAGACTGGACAGCTACTTGTCTGAAATGGTATAGGGTTTCCTGCCTGAGCAAGGGGTTGGACTAGATGACCTCCAAGATCCCTTCCAACTTTATCATTATCATTATCATTATCATTATTATTATTATTATCTAAAGTTTCACTTAGCAACATGAATTTTGGGCTCAGCTGTGGTCCTAACTCAAGGATGACCTGTATAGACTCTAGAAAGAATAAACAGTGTTAGATACCTTGACTCTACTGCAAAAAAAAACCCTAGCAATTGTAAGAACAACTGCTGCCAAAAGTACAAATGACATTAGCTGAGCAGAAATCCTATTTGTTATACGGATTACCAAAATATTTACTGCTGCCAGAAACCCAATGCAACCTAAGCCATGGGCAAACTCTACTGGAAGAACCAGGCCCCAAGCAATATCATAATGCCATTTCATCATACCGGGTTGTTTTTGCCAAGAAAAAGCCATAAAAATGTTTTATCAAATCATCACAACTACACAATTAATTTAATAGGGATTGTGCCTTTGTCATTCTTCTCAATTGGTCAGAGAGCTTCGACATTTTCAATCTCATAAAACGTACAGTCAATAACCAAACTAGACTTGCTGTATGGTTGTATTAAAATATAATAACATTCTCTGAAAAGATGATACATTAGCTTTTAATTTGTTTCTTTTTTGTGATGGCTTTATGCTTTTGCTTGTGTTAGCCACCTTCAGTTGCTCAATTTTGAACTAGTATTCGGGGAAATAATCAGGAAATAAACATTTAATTTTAGATTTGGGTCTCTGGCACTAATATATTAAGACAATGATTTTCAATCTTTTCTTCACCACAGAACCCCTTTAAATATGTTTCGTGGCCACGGACCACCAAGACTTAACTCGAGATTTAAATCATAACATTTCTTCAAGCCTTCGTGGACCCCGTGATGTCATCGCAGCCCCCCCAGAGGTGATAATACGCCTTTAATGATAATATGTCTTTCATCATAGCTATTTGTTATAATTGCATATTTGAATATTTCAATAGTGTTTCATCCAAACTTCAACAACTTCTAAAACATTTTTAGTTATCTGAAGTACTATAAAAGACATGATACCTTTCAGATTTGTAACGTAAATTATTTCGAGAACTCTGTCGCTATTTGATTCTCCTTGCATTTCAACATCCAAAGGAGAGTTATGCTAATTACCAACCGCTTGAGTGAGCATTTCTGCTAATAATTTCCGTGACAATTAACAGAAACACATTCATTAAAGAGTTCCACAAGCACTGAAACAATGTGCTGTCCAATTCAATTGATTGCTTCAAGTTGAACTGAAAATAGAAAGAAAATCCAAAGGGGTGGTGTTCA